GTACATATATACAACGGAATATTATACAACTGTAAGAAAGATCTCTTATCCTTTGAGACAACATGGAGGGACCTCAAGAGTATTATGCTAAGTGAAATAAGTAAATCAAAAAAAGAGAAATATCACATGATCTCACTTATTTGTGGAATATATGAACAAGGTGGGCTGATGAATGAAGCAGACCCAGAGACACAGAAAGGAGTATGGCTCAGACTGACAAACCTCAGGGTAGGGGGGCAGGATGGGGGGATGGAGGCGATGAACCAAAGAACTTATATACATGTATATATAACCAATGGATATAGACAACAATGCAGGAGTGTGGGAAAGCAGGATGGGGAGGAGGGTGTCTAGGGGGGAAAAAGGATAAACATTTGTAACAAAAATAAAAATTAATAAAAATTGGGGAAAAAAAGCAATTAGGGAAACACAAATATGAATAGATATCTATGAATTTGTAAAAGTATTTCATGATAAACATTTGAGTACTGTATGTAGTGATTCATCTTCAGTAAAAACAAACTAAACCTCTGTGTTATAAGGAGAAAGGTGTGCAACGATACCCATTAGGTTATTAATGTTAATTACATCAGAAAAACAAGTAAGAGATATAATGCTTTTATACAAGGGACAGCGAAAGTAGGTTTGCAGTTGTTTGTATGAAAAAAAGACATGCAGGTTTTGACTATTCTAATAGCTTGATTAACTGTGTTTCATGCATTCATAACTATAAACCTACTTTTGCCCATCCCTGTATATCTTTGTTCTGTATTACTGCAATTGTTTCAACAAGCATGTATTAATAACTTAAAAATCATTAAAGAAAAATGTTTATTTAAAAATATTAATAAGCAAGATGTATAACAATATCTAAGCAATACCCCAATTATGTAAAGTATAGAATTAGCATGATTTTACCCTGTTGAAATGGTGCCCTTCACTCACTAGTCCACAACTCTACTGAAGTAGACATGAGCAACTAAGGAAAAGTCAGATAGACATAGATATGACATTTAAAAAAAAAAAAAACTAGACCAATCAAATGCCTTCTCTCTGTGTTTTAAAAATGAATAATAAGGAAACAAGTTAGTTAACAACCAAGCACTAAGGCTGAAAGAATGCATGAATGTGGCACAAAGAAGTTAAAACTTGAATAGTGCAGACAAAATGGAACCATGAGGAACAGAAATCACATATAAACAAGCAAAAGCTATAAAAGTGATAAAAGATAAAGAGTGGATGGGATAAATAGGACAGCTAGAAAGTTAAAATAATCCTAAAGTTATTTCGGGAGAAAAATTTTAAGTTGCACATCCAAAAGAACTGAGAATGAATTAAAAGTTGCAGCAACTAGTCTGAAGAATACATTTCTGATGTCTAACCAAAAAATATAAGAATTATAGATTAGTTTTCTATTTCATCTCCTAAAGATTCCCAAAACCTTCCTTAAGTATAATCCATTTTAACTAAAATCCATAGCTCAAAAAATTCCGATAGCATGGGCAACATGATCAATGGACTCAAAAATTCAGAAAAATCAGACTTTGAAAGTGAAAAAATAGGGTTATTCAGTAGGTTAAGATGAGTGAGAGAAGGTAAGTAAATAAAAGTATAAAAGTAATATGACAGTCCTCTTTAACTCAATAAATATTTGAATGAACTAGGAATTTGTATTGTGCTTACAAACAAGTATACAAATAGAAAGTGCCCCATAACAATGAAACCACAAAAGATACAGTGTATTTCTAAAGGAGAAGATAAAAGAGAATAGACCAGCCCTGGCCAGTTTGGCTCAGCAGTTGGAGCATTGGCCCGTGGACCAATGAGTCACGGGGTTCAATTCTGGTCAAGGGCATGTAACTCAGTTGCAGTTATTCCCGACCCTTGTGGGGTCGTGCGGGAGGCAACTGTTCGATGTGGCTCTATCACATCAATGTTTCTGTCTCTCTGTCTCTCTCTCTCTCCCTCCCTCCCACTCTATCTGATAGTAAGTAGAAAAATATCCTCGGGTGAGGAATAAAAAAAGAGAGAGAGAGAAAGAGAATAGAGTAGCACAGACTGAAGAATGGTATAATATAAAATTAACTTACAGAATTAAGTACGAGGCAGATGTTTTAACTTCTACTAACATTTCCATTTCACTCTTATACAATCAAATACCAAAAAATATTAAAGGCCAAAATTTTTTTAAGAGTATACAAGTGGAAAAGTATAAATAGACAAATACAAATGGATCAGTATATTAATGGCTGAAGCTACTCTATTCTGAAAAGGACTCAGAAAGAGCAAATACCAACATTATTTGCAGTTCATGAATTATCTGCTTCCCAAAATATGTTCCACAGAATTCTAATGTCTCAAGATACTTGTGAAAAAGAGCAAACATCAAGCCAGGCTAGTGTGGTTCCGGGGTTGAGCGTCAACCCATGCACCAAGAGGTCACTGGTTCGATTCCTAGTCAGGGCACATGCCCATTGTGAGCCCAATCCCCAGTGAAGGTGGGCATGCAGGAGGTGGCCAATTGATGTTCTCGCTCATCAATGTTTCTATCTCTCTCTTCCTCTCTCTTACTCTCTCTCTAGAATCAATACAGTACAGAAAAAAAAAATTAAAAAAAAAAAAAGCAAACATCAAATTACTTTAGGGACCAATGACTCCTATCTAACACTTTTCCCAGTAACTCAGAGTCACTATGCATATTTGCATATCAAAGTTCTAAGAAGGTCCACATAATACTTATTAACTCACTATTTTCCAAACTGATAAGACCCGGAGACACTATTTTCCTCAAAATTCTTACCAATATCCCATGAAACCAATGTTTTGTGAAACATTTTGTACAGGCTGATATAAACCTATGATGAAGTATAACAATACCTCCACCTAACATTAGAACACTTACGGTAAATACACTTCATTTCACATGGAAATCCTAGTAAATCCATACTTAATACTAAAAGTGCAAAATTTAGAATAGTAATTAACCATGTCTGCCATGAAAACTGGAGGAAAGCATAATGTTAGCTAGCTTTGATATAAATCCTATCTTTTTTGAAGGGTTCTCAGTGAAAAGAGATCAAAGCAGTTCAGCATAATGGGAATCAAGTTCTAGAGCCAGATACTCCAAGTCAAAATGCTGCTGCCTTACTTGAAAAATGGTGCTTAATTTCTCAGAGCTAAGTTTTTTTCATCTGTAAAATGGGGATAATAGTATCTTCCTCATATGGTTGTTATGTTAAATGAATAAATGTGTATAAAGCACTAAAAAAAGCATCTAACATATTATCAATGATGAATGTCCTCTGGAACAAAATATATGTTTTTATTGGTCAAATTTAACCAACTATATCTGATACAGGTTCACCAATGTAGCTATACTAGAATTGACTATCATGGCCTGCCCTACCCATATTCCTGCTAAACTAAACGTTCTTCCGCTGTATTTCTGATTCCCTCTCCCACCCACAACTCTCACCCCAAGCCAGCCTACATAGAGCTAATTTCACAAAAGTAAATATGTATCCCAAAAATAATTCACGAGCATGCCAGTCATTCATCACCATGGCTTGGCTTGAGATGAATAAAACCCATCAAACATTTTGCTCAGAAATTCAAGAACCTAAGAAATTAAAGTAGGTGGTAGTGAACCCTGAAACCAAAAAGTCATGAAGATTTAAGATCCCACAACAGTTATTTTAGGTTATGTTCAATTTCTGTAAACACTAAAAAATAAATCAAGAAAAGGGAGAATATTACATATATACATATATAAAAAACAACATATTCACCCTAAGAGATGGACCGATGACGGATGAATGAAGGGAGGAAGGAGGGGTAGGAAGGAGGAAGAAAGGAAGGAAGGAAAGAAATAAAGAAAGAAGAATGGCTGATCCCTCAAATTGTCTTGGTTATGCTTTCCTGAAATGTAGCTAGTCCTCATATTCTGAATTTCTAAAACATGTAGCCTCTTCATGAATATCTTTACTTAGAAATTTCTCAAGTTAGTCTGTTCCTTCCAGGAAGGAACAATATCAGCATAACTAAATTAAAAAATAAAGATTTGAGTCACCAATTTACATAGAATTAAAATCAAAATAAAATCATCCTGCACATCATATGCTTCTCCTAAGCATATGAACTTAAAAACCAAACTAGCAAAAAAACTGGTGTCTTTCTTTTTTTTTTCAACAAAGCAAATTCTAGTAACACCTGGTATCAGCATTTATGGAGATCAAATTTTTATGCCAACAACTACATCATACTATATAACAACAACAAATGTTCATAATTATACATCTAGATCATCAGAAATAAAAGTATTGAAAATTAATAAGCCTGTTTAAAAAAAATCAAGAGTATATGCTTTTTTAAAAACTTTTAGCAAACATCTAAAATTTTACACTCTAGCACTCAAAAGGTTGCCAATCAGCTATCTGGAATCCTCACTTTTCAGGATTACTGGGAATCCAAATAACTAAGATTTTATGGCAACTAGGAATAGATGTAGTTCTTCTGAATCACCTGCCTACAAGTTGTTTTTTTTTTAATTAAAGAAAAAATGATTATCAAATTTTTACAATCATCTATTATATAAAAGGCTAGACTTAGGAGTTTTGATATATAAAATAGTCCATGTTAAAGAAATCTTATCAAACTCTATGAACAGTAAAAGAATTACAATAATTAATAAACTTTAATATATGAAAATAAGAGTTTCCTGAAATTCTAAATACTTGCTTGACAAAATAACCTAGTAAGAAAAGAAAAACATAGTTTTCGTAAGGCATAAAGGTTAGTACAAGATTTTCACTAACTCTTTGAAAAGATTGCTATAGAAAATGAGAAACCATTTATTTTTAATATACTGAATCCTAAGCCCAATTAGCAAACAAAATAATCAGGTTAATTTTTAAAACCTCAAAAGATAAAATTCACATGAAAATTTTAACAATACTATACACAAGCGATGTTAAACATAAAAAGAGAAAATATTTACTAACCTTTATTTCCTAACATCACAGCAAGATGTAAAGGAGTGTTTCCTAAAATTAAAAAAAAAAAATTTAAATTAGTGTAAAAATATAATGTGTATTTAAAAATGGTTTTAGTTCCTTCACAAATTTCACGGACAGATTTTAAGCAAAATGATCCTGCTTACATGGCAAATTCAAAGTCAGAAGATGCCATGGTTTCCAAACATAATGCATCCAACTCCTCTTCCCTCTGCCAACCCATCCCCACCCATTCCCAAAAAGATACTCATTTTGTTTTAGAGATTTCTTCTCCAAACAGATTTCAAGCTTCCCTTGCTGCTAATTTCTCTATCATATTGTTCTTTGTTCATTCAACAAACAATTTAAATACCTACTATAAACTCATTCTTGGGGATAAATATCAATAAGACCCAATCTCATCCTCAAGTTGTCAAAATTCTTCTGTTAGAGCCTGATATAAAAATAAATCCTTGTTGTATTATACACTAGAAGAGAAGAGAGTGTAGCATGATAATGGAACACAGGGCAGAGCACCTACTTTTGCATGTGCAGAGAGGCTTAAATATTGAAGATAGACCACACAATGAAAAGAGTCTTGAAGAATGGGTTAGAAATTTGTAGGCAAAGAAAGCAACACTGACTAGTCTTCCATGTTAAAATATATATATTCCACCAAATTGCATTCATATGCAAAACGTTTGAGAAATACACAAAATTTTATGATTACTTGGAGTAAAGAGTTTGTAAGAGAATAGCAAATAATGAAATTAGAAAGATTAGTAAAAGACAAACCAATGAGAACCTGTAGGCTACACTATAGAGTTCAGACTATATCCTATAGTTGATGGTACAGAATGATTAATTTAATTTCAAAATGATGTCCCAAGTCACACTTATAGCCTAAAACGTGTTATAGAGGAAAGCAAAACTATAGTAATATTTTAAAATAAAGTTACTAATTAAAATTTATGTATATTAATTTTCAGATACTAGCATTTTTACAGAAGTCTTTAAATGAACAATTTTTGCCAATAAAATGAGCTATGCATGTATCAAGAAATCATACACAGGATAAAACAAGACTTGATTACTTATTTCTAAGAAATTTGTATATGATCTACCCCAATCAGGTAACTGGACAAAACGTGCCAAGATGTTTAAAATAAATACACACACACACACACACACACACACACATATTTTGCTCAATAAAGTCAGAAGAGAATGGGAATTGTTGGCAAAAACAGCAAGATAGTATTTATACAAAATTTGCAAAATGTACAAGATACAAATAAATTCACTAAATTTAAATTGTATCTATAAGTAATTTTACCAAAAAACAAACTGGATTATAGTAAATATCTTTAGCTTCTTCATTAGAAATAGCAGAAAATGGCAGACTTTGGGATACAATTCACAATATGGTTTTCAGAAAAAAAAATCTGAAATAACAAATTTTCATTAGTGACTAGGCAATATACTCCCCAATTTTCACACCTCAGAACTCAACCTAGTTGAGATAATGGAAACCACTATGATACTATTGTTAATAATCATATTGAAGCATGTCCCAGAAAAGACATGATTACCGAAAGTTGCTCTTTTCCAAAGATACAAACTTCAATCCCCCCCAAATTTCACATCTTTTAGAGTAAGCTAGCCATCTTCTTAAAATGCTATATCATAATGTTTGCCCTGGACAGTTTTGCTCAGCGGTCCGGAGAGACCCGGGTTCAGTTTCCGCTAAGGGCATGTACCCCGGTTGCAGTTTGTCCCCGGCCCTGGTCGGTCGTGCGGGTGGCAGCCACTCGATGTGTTCCTTTCACATCGATGTTTCTCTCTCTCTCTGTTCCTCTCTCTCCCTCCCACTCTACCTGAACAAAAAATGAAAAAATGTCCTCGGGTGAGGAGAGGGAGAGGGAGAGAGGGAGAGAGGGAGAGAGGGAGAGAGGGAGAGAGGGAGAGAGGGAGAGAGAGGGAGAGAGAGAGGGAGAGAGCGAGAGAGAGAGAGAGAGAGAGAGAGAGAGAGAGAGAGAGAGAGAGAGAGAGAGAAAGAAAGAAAGAAAATGCTTAATTAAGAACAATTCAGCTCTGGCCGGTTTTGCTCAGTGGTTAGAGCATTGGCCTGTGGTCCAGAGAGACCCGGGTTCGGTTCCTGCTAAGGGCACGTACCTCGGCTGCAGTTTGTCCCCAACCCCGGTTGGAGTCATGCGGGAGGCAGCCACTCGATGTGTCCCTTTTACGTCAATGTTTCTCTCTCTCTCTTTCCCTCCCACTCTACCTGAACAAAAATGGAAAAATGTCCTTGGGTCAGGATAAAAAAATTAATTAAAAATAAATAAATAAAAACAAAGTTTAGAAAAGACTACAAAACATGAGAAGAACAGATATACAATTAGTGTTCCTTTCAAGATTTGCCAGCATTATAACCCTCCTGGCTAAAACTGTTCACCTTGAACTAAAAATCTTACTTAGGTCAAGATTTTTTTGCCATGCAAAGTTTAGCTTAATAGCCATTTCTTCTCCTATAGACATATTATGCATTATTCTTTTGCATCACCTACCATAAATAATTTAATGACAAAAACAAAGAAAATAATATCAAAAGAGAATGTAAAGATTTACAGATAAGTCAGAATAAATATAGTATACAAACACCAGATTATCCTATTGCCTCAATTCTCAAACATACATTTTTAATCTTTCAAAATTAAGATGCTTTAAAATCCCTATCTGAAGAAATCTGTCAGCTATCAGACAGAGATATTACACATGTTAATCATTTCCTTACCACTTCAATGAGTTACCTGCATTGCCAGGAATACTCGAAATTGAATTTTACCTTAAATTTAAAATCTGTAATCACTGTGTGAAATAATTTCAAGATGATTACACTACAACTCCATAAAAATAAAAATTAACTGTGTATAGAAAAGATGGCTTTTCATGTGCCAGGCAATGTAATTCAAGACAGTAGAAACTGCCAAATCTCTCAGAATAGATCAGAAATTGTTCACAATCTAAAAAAAGCTGGTTTGAGCAATTTATTTATCAACAACTTTCATCATTCTGCCACCTAAAAGCTTCTAACTAATGGCCAAGAGAAGGTGCTTAACTTCTAAGGATATGTAACTCAATTAAGAAGAAAAAAAAACTAAACTAAACTACATGTTTAACAAATAGGAAGTGCAGTCTAAATCAAGAAAGTCTTCCATATGCTTCACAAACATTCTCAATTCTAAAGGTAAAGTAGTAAAAATCATGATGCTCTGTTTAACTACCAATGGCTAAAAGTGATTCAGAAAAATCTTAAGTCAATGTGAAAAAAAGGTTAGACTTAAACTTTAATTCTATGTTAAATAAAAAAGTGGTATATGACTAAAGCTATACTCAATATATCAAGTTTAATACATTTGTGTACAATTAATGTAATGGATCTCTTTACCCACCCAAAAAAGCTGTTACTAAATATATAGAGTCACAATTGCTTGACATATTTGAACACAGTATATACATGATGTTATGGCTGTTACTGTATTTAACTTATATTTCAAGAGATTTGTTTGGATCCATATACAGTAATCTTCAAAATAATTGATGGCTCAGAAAAAGCGATTCATACTCAACCAACATTGTACCACAGAAGAAAAGGCTCTATCCTTGCTATTCAATTTGACAATAAAAAACAAAAACAAACTAATTTCGCTCTTCCTGAAAGTGGCCAGAAGCAACCTCTAAAAATGGTTCTCTATTCACTTGATCCAGAAAACACCAGAAAAGCATGCAAATTAAGAGGTTCAAGCCTTCATGTTCTCTTTAAGAACACTCCTGAAACTGCCCAGGCCATCAAAGGTATGTATATTCAAAAAGTCATGAAGTATCTGAGGTATGTCACTTTACAGAAGCAAAGTGTGCCTTTCGGTCATTACAATGGTGGAATTGGTAGATGTGCCCAGGCTAAAAAGTGGGGCTGGACACAGGGTCAGTGGCCCAAAAAGAGTGCTGAGTTTTTGCTGTTCATGCTTAAAAATGCAGAAAGCAATGCTGACCTTAAGGGTTTATATGTAGATTCTCTGGTCATTAAGCACATCCAGGTAAACAAAGCTCCTAAAATGTGGCACAGAACTTACAGAGCTCATGGGCGGATTAACCCATACATGAGCTCTCCCTGCCACATAGAAATGATCCTCACTGAGAGAGCAGATTGTTCCTAAACCAGAAGAGGAGGTTGCACAGAAGAAAAAGATATCCCAGAAGAAACTGAAAAAACAAAAACGTATGCCCAGGAATAAATTTAGCATAAAATAAATACTAATAAAAGTAAAAAATAGCCCTGTCCGGTTTGGCTCAGCGGTTAGAGCGTCGGCCTGCAGTCCAGAGAGACCCGGGTTCGGTTCCCACTAAGGGCACATACCTCAGGTTGCAGTTTGTCCCTGGCCCTGGTTGGGTTGTGTGGGTGGCAGCCACTCAATGTGTCCCTTTCATGTCAATGTTTCTCTCTCTCTTCCTCTCTTTCCCTCCTGCTCTGTCTGAACAAAAAAATGGAAAAATGTCCTCGAGTGAGGATAAAAAATAAAAAAAAGTAAAAATAAACTAAAACTAGTTTTCACTAAAAGACAATTAAGATTTTCATTTACTTACTGAACACACACATACTATGTACTATGTTTCAGGGACCATTCTAAGCACTTTATAAATGATGTTATGTAAAGAATGGATACAGAAGTTAGGAATGTTTACTAGAAGATAGGGAGAATATGACAGCTCTTGTCAAATATCTAAAAGACTATCATGTAAACAAGGCAGCCCATTTATCTGCGCCATTAAATAAAAAAGACCCGGAACAAACAAGATTTGCACTCTGTAGATAAACTCTGAGAGCTCTCCAATGGCAGACTCTCTCTACAAGCCTACTATAACCACTAAATGGGAAACTATATATTAAAGCACTTTTCTGTAAACGCCACATACACATATAAATTTACTTCTTTGCCATATACTGAGTCCTGATCAATAGAAATATTTACAAAGAGGTTGATCTGGGCTTTGGAGTCCTAGCTATTAATTCATTTCTCATCTTTGCAACTTTCCGAAGTATGTGACGTTACGAAAGTTTCCTTTAAAATAAAGTTAAAACTATCTGCTTTGCAGGGTTATTGTGAGAATTAAACGTAATAATGTATGTAAACACTTAGCATAGTGCTGACACACTCAATAAATTGTACCTATGATGATATGATGATGATGATGACTACCACCACCACCACCACCATCATCATCATCATCATGATGTTGTGGAAGGAATCTCTCATCATTATCATCATGTTGTGGAAGGAATCACTACAGTGAATATAAAACTATGTGATATAGTGGTATGACTGAATGGCTCTGCTATGCACCAGTATGAATATAAGATTCTGCTATGCACTTATCATGTTACAACAATCCAAATATAATATATAGCTTGTTTCTGTTAGGGTGACTTACAAAAAGCATTTATCTTTGCAGGACAGGTGTTGCTCAGTGGAATGAGCTTCATCCCATGGACTGAGAGGTCCTGGTTTGATTCACCATCAGGACACATGCCTTGGGGGGGGCTCCATCCTTAGTGGAGGGTGTGTAGAAGGCGGCCAATCAATGTTTCTCTCTCTCTTTCCCTTCCTTTTTCTCTTAAAAAAAAATAAAGAAAAACGTATTTTTTAAAAAGCATTTATCTTTTGTAATTTGAAAGAAAAAACATTCTAAAAATCTAAATAAAGTATCCAGGTTACTAAAAATCAAGAGTAAAAGTAACAAAATATAATGGGGAAATGATGTAGCTACAGAGGATAAAGGGATTAAAGAAGTAGCACCAAACCTGGCTGGTTTGGTTCAGCGGTTAGAGAGTCAGCCAGAGGACCACAGAGGTCCGGTTCGGTTCCCCCTAAGGGCACATACCTAAGTTGCAGACTGTCCCCAACCCCAGTTGGGGTTGTGTGGGTAGCAGCAAGTCGATGTGTCTCTCTCACATCGATGTTTCTCTCTGTCTCGCTTTCTCCCTTTCTCCCTATCTGAGGATAAATGCAAAAATGTCCTCAGGTGAGGATTAAAAAAAAAGAAGTAGCACATTAAATACAAGTTACTCTTCCTAGAAGACTTTACTGCAGGACATGAGAATGTATACTGAAGGGATAAAAACAATTACACTTTCCACAGGTATGTGAACCTCTGGCTACATTCATCAGAAATAGCAGCAATATAAGGGTAGCTAAGTGCAATGCAAACATTTGGTATATCAACAATTTAAAAAGTGAATTTCAGTGGACTAAGGACTAAGGACAAGAGTTTAGGGGTATTTAGGATTCCAATTACTTTGAACATAATTTGTTTAGGGGTATTTAGGATTCCAATTACTTTGAACATAATTTGTGTTTTAACAAACCAACAGTCATATTCATCTATCTCTTATTTAATAGGAAATTAACTCTCAGAAGGAATCTTTAATGTTTTCAGGAATATTTATTTCGAAAGCAATGGCAATAAAATAAAACATAGCTACTAGGAAGACCAAATCTGAAAAACTTCTTAATTTACTAATAACCCAAAGCTGTAACACTTCTCCCCCTAAAAACACACACAAGAATTAAAATATAATTACCATCAACAGGCAATGTTATGCTTGTTGCAACAATAGTAAAATAGTTAAATAAATTAAATGAGGAATGAAAAACTCATGCAGTTTTCAAGAAGTTTTTTGGGAATTTGATTTATGTATGATAAATGACGGGTAGTGATATTACTACAATATCACTAAATTCAAAATACGCGCGCATTTGTAAGAAAATTATAAAACCAACAGAAATCTTACTTCACCTCAATTTTTGCATACGAAACCTAGAGTCCAATGGATTTAAGGGAGTTTATTCCACAGGCAAGTATTTCATCAATATGTTATATTATTTTGAACACAGAGTTCAATGAGTTCTAACTAAATGTATGCAATAGTTATGTTCAGTAAAAGCAAAGCTATCAACATCATTTGCCAACTACCCAGTTTAAATGGCCTATCTATGATATGTTGAAAATATCAGTGTTTACGTTTACTTTCATTAATAAATTTACTGTTGTTTAGAAGTCAACTCAATCACATTGTTTTTTGAACTTAAAAAAAACTGGGGGGGCCCTGGCCGGTTTGGCTCAGCGGTTAAAGCATCGGCCTGTGGTCCTGAGAGACCCGGGTTCGGTTCCCGCTAAGGGCATGTACCTCGGTTGCAGTTTGTCCCCGGCCCTGGTTGGTCGTGCGGGTGGCAGCCACTCGATGTGTCCCCTCACATCGATATTTCTCTCCCTTTCTCTCCTTCCTGCTCTATCTGAATAAAAAATGGAAAAATGTCCTCGGGTGAGGACAAAACAAAACAAAACAAAAACAAAAAACTGGGGGGGGAAATCAGCTGATGAGTTAAGGCAAAAAGTAGACATAAAAGGCCTTGAATAGCTTATGATACTACATCTTGTCATAAGTTACTATGAAAAAACACAGTACTATTTTTAGTCACAGTTATCAAGATGAAACATTAGTATCAGTAACTGCCTAAGTAAATCAAACAAAAAACTCAAACTCTGCTCCAACAAAATTTTAGCTACTCAGAAGTCACTTCACTTGCTCTAGTTATCAAATGCCAACAAATTTAAACTGTATGGCTTTCAAAAATCAAAGCATTCTATATCCTATCTTAAATGCACAGTGCAGACACTTTGTATTCAACTAAGTTTCCCTAAAGCAGAAGAAAACAAACAAAAACCACAAAGAAACAGACAAGCTGACAGCAATCACAACCACTTGCAGTCAAGCTGGGATCTGTACCTAGGTAATGAAGGTAGGTGAACAAGATACAAGGCCAAATTCAAGATCCCAAGGTGGGAGATGGAGAGAGAAAGAAAAAATATATAGTTCCATAAATAAACACAGGAAGAAAGCCAGAATGGATGAGAGACAACCTAAAATTTCTTTTAATCAAGAATCAACACACAATGAAGACCTGTCTCAAAGACAAACAAAACGGCTTCTCAGAGGAAACTTTGAAGTGGGCAAAGAGGAAACATTCCTTTGCACCCACAAGAACCAATCCCCTGACCACTGGCATGCTATTACTGAATCCGCCATGACTTACGGGCATTTAGCCCAGATGGTGAGCAAAGGAAAGAAAGGTCTATTGGAGGCGAGCCTAGGATTCCAGAGGACTGGGGAGGCACACCCTAGGCTCGGGGAAAGGGGGTGGGGGGGGAGCACTCCTCACCGTGATTATCTTTCTGCCCGATATTGTGCGTGCGGATGAGAGAGGACAGTCTCCTTACATCCCCCTTGAAGACGCACTCGTGCACTGGGTAGTGTGTGGGGCAAATGCCTCCATCTGCGGCGACAGCAATGGGGTTGGTGCCCGCTAGAAGAGTCTGGGATTGGGAGGTGGTGGTGGTTACGGAGGAATTATGCAGCGGCAGGACCGGCGCGGCGGCGGGACTGGAGGAGGCTGGAGCTGTCTTCAGCTGGAGCCGGTGATGATGGTTACTGAAGATCTTGTGACAGGCTCGGCCGCCCTTGCCGCTGCCGCCTGTGCCGATCCTGCCTCCGGTAAAGGTGCCGCCGAGGGCAGCCGCCGCTTCCTCATCCCCAGGCTCCAGCAGGTCCCCCTCTTCTTTGCTGGGCTTGTGGTCCCTCCGCAGTGAGCGGATCTTCTCTCCGGTCATCGCCGCCAGGGGCAGAAGGAGTGTCCCGGGAGCTCACCGCCGGCGACGGAGTGGGTGCTACGGCGGCACAGGGCGATTAGAGCGGTGGCCAGGCGCCTCCAGCGCAGCATGAACTCCCGGAGAGCCCCCGAGCCCGGGACAAACGCATCTCCCGGAGGAAGTCGAGCCGACTCTAGCCTGAGTACGAAAGGACGCGCGCACGCTGGGGGGAGCTAGTGCTCAGGCGCCCACGACACCACGACCCCGGTCCCCGCCGCCGCCGCCGCCGCCGCCGCCGCCACAGCCTCAACCCGAAAAACAGGGCACGGCCATCTTCCTCTGGCTTCTCTCGCGAGAGCTCCCACGGGAAGAAGAAGAAAGGAAACACCGCGACAGGTGAGCAGCCCGCTCCCTCCCCCGCCTTTCTATTCCGGGAGTGTTGCGGAGCGCCGGCACCTGCCCGGCGTCGGGTGTCCCCGCGAGCAGGAGTTCCTGAGCTCAGTCTCCCGGACCCGTCACTCCCTGTGGCCGCGCTTCCTGTGGAGGTTCTGAAACCTTAGCCTGCGTTTAGATATTCGATGCATCCTATAAACAATGACTTCAACGCTCCAACCTCTCGGCTTCCCGCTGAGTGCCGAATGACGCCCCCGCACACCGGATGTGACGTCACTGAGATGCACCTGACGTTCGTTCAGTAAACATTTACCAACCATCTGCTTCGTGCCGGACACCGAGCTAGTAGATTTATAAAACTGGCTCGAAGGAGCTCAGTAGAGGAAGAAAATAGTCAAACAATTGGGTTCAATATTTCACTTCACAAGGAATGAAGTGCATGAGGGGAGCTAGGTTGCACGGAAAAGGGGAGGCAAATTTTAGAGTTGGAGTGTCAAAAGTCACCATAGAAAAGTTTAGGGGCTGACCTTGGAAAACAGGCTATTCAGCAGAAAGGGAGAGGGGAGGTCACTCAAATATTTGTTGATGAATCAATTTTGGGCAGGCGTCAGAGTTTAAGTATGGGTAGTGGGCGCTGAAGGATGGCAAATATAATTGTGTAACTGGAATCACTGGACAAGTTCATGACCAATCTCGACTCGGCGTAAAATTCTAAAAGAACGTAAGTCTGACATCCATAAAGCCTTGATAAAATAACTGAAGCTGTGGGGAACAGGAGTGGAGGGCGGTTAGCAAAATGTCCTGCAGATTTTACTCATTTCGCTCTCCTAAATCCCACTTACTCTGACAAATGCTTCTTTCAAACCTCTTCTGTCTTAATTTGTATTACCATCTCCATTTCCACACCCTCCCTCCAAAACAAAACCTCAACACTCTGTGGGAACTGGCCACTCTCCCTCCTCCCCTACCATTCAGATTTTCAACTCCCATCTTCTTTAAAAATCTATTCAAATCTATCTTTCTTCTCTTCTTCTTTTTAAATTTTTTGGTAGGTTGTTCCAGTTATGTTCAAGCATTACCCAATCAGCACCTCAAAGGATCCTACTCATTGTTAACTCTAAACCAGGCAGTATGCTTGGCACTTTATATATTATCTCCTTGTGATAAGTATCATTTTTAATCTTCATTTAACCGTTGAAAAAACTTGCCCAATGCCTCAAAGCTTGAATGCAACATAGTCCAGTATGATTTTAGGGCTAGAGAAATAAGAAAGGGTCAAGTCATGTAGGACTCCATATGTCATCTTAAAAGTTTACATTTATCCTAAAAGAAATGGATAGCCTTTCAGGGGTGTTGAATAGGGGAACAGCATGATATTTGCCTTTTAGAAAAGCCACTCACTCACTCCTTAGTAAAGTATGTACTGAGAATAGATTACAAGGGGGCTACTCTAGAAACAGGGAAACAGAGAATAATGCATAAACCAAATAATAATAATGTGTTAATATTTGAATATAAAAGTCTGGAAAATATATACATCGCACCCTGTGATTATCACTGGAAGATGGAATTATTAAGTCACATATACACTGCATTGCTTGAATTTTTTACAAAGAGAAAGTATTAAATTTTATTAATCAGAAAAATAATAAGTTATTTTTAAAGAAATATACAGTAATTCAGTTAATGAAAGATTATGAGAGCATGAACCAAGTTAGTCTATCTACCATTATATCCATAAAGTATCACTGGATCCAGAATTTAAAAGTACCTTATTAGTGGATGCCACTCATGGACAAGTGTGGAAACGTGAAGTGTCCTCTCAGTAAAATCAAACTGTAGACTTCAAAAATAATATTCAGCCCTGGCCGGTTTGGCTAAGTGGTTAGAGCGTTGGCACGTGGACCAATGGGTCATGGGTTTGATTCCAGTCAAGGGCACATACCTCAGTTGTGGTTTGTCCCCAGCCTTGGTTGGGGTCGTGCAGGAGGCAGCCACTCGTGTCCCTTTCATGTCAATGTTTTTCTCTCTCTTCCTCTCTCTCCCTCTATCTGAACTTACTCTATCTGAACAAAAAATAGAAAAACATCCTGGGGTGAGAAGTCAAAACAAAACAAAAAAAACAAAAATAATATTCAGTCCTTACTTTTAAGAGCTCCACCGTATAATAGGGAGACTATATAGAAAAATAAGATTAAAATACATTGTGAAAAAATACAAGAATTGAAATTATATGAGATTCTGATATAATATAGAGGAGAAAATTATTATCTCTGGAGGAAATGAGAGGTGATTAGGAAATCTTTCAGGAGAAGGTAATGTCCAGACCAGGGTTTAAAGAATATATAGGAGTTGGCCAACTGGGCAAGGAAAAAGACACTATAAGTAATCATAATAATCATTTATTGAGAGCTTCCCATGTATCAGGCATTGTCCCATGCAAGTTTCAATACCTATTTGATTTTATCCCCATTTTACAGATGAGGCAGCTGAGGCACAAAAAGTGATCATTCAGGTGATGAGTAGAAGTATAAAGAATAGTGTGTGTAAATATAGCATGATATTGAGAATCATTGGAGCATAGCATGTGGCAGGAAAAGTGACAGTAAATGAGACTAGAAAGAAAGAAGAAAAGCTGGACTAGGTTACAAAGAACAACTGTACGAAACTTGGGCTATATATGCTAGTGTAGGGGAGGAGCAAACTTTCCTCTCCCCCCAATGTTCTTCCGGTTGGTCTAATATCAAATAGACATGAGACAGATTAGCAAGAGAAAATAACCATACTTAATGCCTACACATTTTTGGGAACATCACATACATGAGTCAGAAACCCCACAAGCATGAGGGGTTCAGAGATTTAAAAAAAAAAAAAAAAGATGATTAAGACAGCAAGACATCCTGAGCTAGGGATGAGGTAAAGTGCCTTCAAGGCTTCAAAGGATCATTGCAGGATGATGAGAAAAGCAGACCTTTAGTAAATAAAAGTTTGCCTTGCCTTATAGATGTGTCAAAAGAAGTTTTTTCTAATAATCTTTTATGGGCAAGGCCTCTAATTTAAATTTTCCTAGGTAGTTAAAAGGGGCAGGCAGAAGTTTCTCTTGAGCCTGAGGCTAAAGTTACCTTTGGCTCAAAACATTCTGCATACCACAGAGGCACATGACTCTGACTCATTCTGGACTCCCACACTAGACAATGGAGATTTTGCAAAGAATTTTAAAACACAGTAAAGACAGAATCACATTTAATCACCATAATGTACAATCAACCCATATCCCAAAGATACAAAATTTTACCAGTCTATTAAGCTTCACCTCTTACCACAATGTCAAATTCATTCTTCATTCTAACCAATGCAATCGGCTGACAGTCCCTTATCCTCTCTCATGCCTCCTTCATATCTTTGTACATGTTGTTTCATATGTCCCAAACTCATTTCTATTTCATTCACCCAGATACCTCCTTTGTGTAAAATTTGTTCACATTTCATCTCTTAGCACCAGGTTTATTGGTTGTTGTTTTTTAACTTATAGAATTCAGGGATCCAGAAAATTATATCAAACTAAACCTTTAAATAAAAATTCAGCACATCCTATTATGAATGTAGGCCACAAACCACATAGTATTAGCAATACCTATGCTTTTGCAACCAAAAGAAACCACAGATATTTCCTTGTCACATTACAGCTGCTGCAGATAACTTGAAATATAATTTACATTCATCACTACCTCAAAATTCATTATTAATTATACCCACCATTAGATGTTGTTCTTTAATAAGTTAATAAAGAAGCACATATATTACTATATTGCAAATTTGTTTTAAAAAATACTTCAGTAGTTTTTTCAATACACTATATTTCCTTTATTAATCCCAAAGTATTGCATGCATTAAAAACATTGTTGCCCTGGCTGATTTGGCTCAGTGGTTAGAGTGATGCCTCTCGAACCAAAGAATCTTGGGTTCGATTCTGGTCAAGCACATATACCTCAGTTGTGGGTCAGGTCATGCGGGAGGCAACCAGTTGATGTGTCTCTCTCACACTGATGTTTCTCTCTCCCTCTCCCTCCCGCCCACTCTTATCTGAAAATCAATGGGAAAAAATCTTCGGGCGAGGATTTTTAAAAAAATCATTTAAAAATAAATAAAATAAAAACATTGTTCTGCAAAGGGGTCCCTAGGCTTCACCATACTGCCAAAGAGGTCTAACAAAAGTTAGTAACTCCTTCTTAGGAGTCTCGAATGACACCTGCCCTTCCCTCCCCTTCTCTCCTATCCAACACCTCATCATTATGAGTAAGGTGCTCCTCCTTTGCCTTCTTTCTGATTTCCCATTTTAACTTTTGCCTTCCTCTTTAGTACTCTTGTCTGTCTCCTTAACTAGTCCTTTGAGCTTGTTGAGTACTAGAAATATGTTTATCACTGCTGTGTGCACAGTGCCTTACAGACAGTGAAATAGTGTTTAATATTAATAATGAACCATTGTAGAATTAATCAAACATTAGAACATAAAACCCCAAAGTATCTACAGTGTACCAAGGCAGCTATAAACTAAGAAACAAGACACTAAATAAATTTAAATAATTCCAATCTGACTACACTGAAGTTGAATACTATTCTCTTGGATGCTTATGTGAGGCCCAAGAGGAAATGTATAATTTTGGATTTTTTTTTTCATTTACAAATAATAAATTCTATTGAAACTGGCCTAAATTAAGGGGACTTATTGACTTCAGAAACGTGAAGAGATATGTTTGAAGAGTGACAGCCTCCAAACCACACGTGACTTTCTCAGTGACTCTCAGTAAGCCCCCCACTGTTTGGAGTGTCCTCTGAAGGTCGGCTTCCCTCAAGGACACAAGATGGCTGCCAGCAGGAACAGGGGCCACATGTGTCCTTCAGATCTGGAAGAAGGACCTGCAACCACAAAAATCTGGTGCTTGACATCCATA